CTTCAAGTGGCCAAGGTTGGACCCCCCTGATTTAAATCTTCACAATGGAAGAAATGAGAAAAGAGAATCCTTGGGAAGGAGAACCAACGAGAGCTAAAACAGACAAATGGAAGGTTATTCTCAGGGGCTTTGATAAGAGATTTGGGGGTTGAGGGACACACACCGGTTAGCAAAATTGAGTGGGGGCACAATTGAGTGGGGGCAGCGGCAGAGGGCTATTTTAAGGCAGAAAGGATTAAATCGAAAGCGCATCTCACATTGGAAGGAGAATTTGCGGCACACACAAACACACATAGGGAAAGGGAGAGGGAGAAGGAGAGAGAGAAAGAAAGACAGAAAGGGAGAGAGAGAAAGAGGAAAAGGAGAAAAAGAGACAAAAAGTAAAAGAGAAGAGAGAGAGAAAGACAGAGAGAAAGACAGAGAAAAAGAAAGAGACAGAAAGAGAAAGGGAGAGAGAGAAAGAGGAAAAGGAGAAAAAGAAAGAAAAAGAGACAGAGAGAAGAGAGAGAAAAAGAAAAAGAGAGAAAGAAAGAAAAGAGAAAGGGAGAGAGAGAAAGAGGAAAAGGAGAAAATCTAAGAAAAAGAGAGACAGAGAGAAGAGAGAGAAAGACAGAAAGACAGAGAGAAAAAGAGAGAAAGAAAGAGAAAGGGAGAGAGAGAAAGAGGAAAAGGAGAAAATCTCTAAGAAAAAGAGAGACAGAAGAGAGAGAGAAAAAGAGAAAGAGAGAAAAAGAGAGAAAGAGAAAGGGAGAAAGAGGAAAAGGAGAAAAAGAGAAAGAAAGAGAGAGAGAGAAAAAGAGAAAGACAAAAAGAGAAAGAAAGAAAGGGAGAGAGAGAAAGAGGAAAAGGAGAAAAAGAGAGACAGAGAAGAGAGACAGAAAAAGAGAAAGAGAAAGAAAGAGAGAAAGAGGAAAAAAGAGAGAGGTAGCACCAGGATTTTGAGTCCGTTGCCAACGCTGGGGGTGAAGTAGCCCCGCCCCCCAAATCCCTCTGCCCAAGAGAAGATGCCCCCTGCATGGCCTGGGCCTCTGCATGGAGGCAGGAGGTGGCACCACCCCCAGCTCTGCCAGTTTGTCCGGAGGGACTCCGATTCCCATCCGATTCCCCTCCGGGGTCCAAGGATGAGCCCAGCCCAGTTTCAAGTGAACCAGCTCAGCTGGGAAAGTGGGGGGAGGGCAGGTTACAAGAAGGCTCAGGCCCTTCTAGATGGCCTTAGGCATCCCTGGGGGAAGCCTCCGAAGACCTCCAGCTGTGGGGGAATCACAGAATACCAGAGCTGGAAGGGACCTTAGAGGTCTTCTAGTCCAACCCTCTGCTTAATCAGGGGAGGGAAAAAAAAACCCTTTTTCCCAAAAACTTCCAGGGTCGGAGCCCCCACAACTCCTGGAGGGAAAGCGGGGGGGGGGGGGGGAGAGAATTAAAGGCCCCCCCCCCCCCCCCCCCCCCCGAGCCCCCCCCCCCCTCCCAGGGACACTCACTCCGGTCCAGGAAGCTGCGCACGGTGTTGCCTGCCAGGCGGTGGGGGTCTTTGGTGACCCCATCGGCGTCGGCCACGGTGTTGTAGAGGTCCACCATGTACTGGGGGGGCTCCTTGAAGTAGAGGGGACCCTGGGGGGGCTCCTCGATGCCAAAGACCTCCAGCAGCTGCTTCAGCGCCTGGTTCCGGGTGTCTTCGGAGCCCCAGGTGGGCTTGGCAGGCCAGGCAGGTGCCCAGGTGAGCAGCAGCAGCAGCGACAGGAGCTTCATTGTCCTCATCATCTTCCTCTTCCTCCTCTGGGGCTTCTGGGGTTCCTCAAGAGGACTAGCTCCTCTGGGCTGGCCCTGGCCCCCTTTATACCCCCCAGCAGAAAGGGCGGGGGATGATGGGCCATCAGGGAATTAATGGGCCCCGCTAACAAGGTGCCAAGCATCCCATTAGCTCAGTCCACACACCTGGGACGGGTGTGGATTCCTCGGGAAGGGGGGGGGGGGGAAGGGGGGGGGGGGGGGGGGCATGGTTGGGGGGCCCGGGCCGGAAGGGGGGGGGAGAATCCCCTTTCCCCCCCCCATAAGCCTCCCCAAAGTTTATTGAGGGAATGGAGGCTGCCAGCCAGATGGGTTGGCTCTCCCCGGGGGGCTAACGGGCACCTAATGGGGAACAGCGGGGGGCCATTGGCAGACAGGAATTAGGGGCTTCTGGGGGGAGGAAGAGGGGGGGAATCTGCAGCAAAGGGGGGAGCCCTCCATGGGACACCCCAAATGGTGACCCTCCTGGCCTGGAAGAAAGCCCCCTGCCCCTTTTCTCTCTCGGGGCACCAGATATGAGCAGCCCCGGTGATCGGGGACCCCCTTGGCCCTGCAACCCCAGCCCAAGAGGGGTGGGGGGGGGTGGCTGGAGTCATGGGGGGGCCCTGCAACCGAGCCCCTTGGAGGCCAAACAGTGTCCTGCCCCTGTGCCGAGGGCCTTTCTAAAAAGCACCGCCTGATTCTAGTCCTCATGGAATCTCAAGGGCTCCTTTCTCCTGCACCCCTGAGAGCCCCGTGTTTTACAGGGATTGTAGAACTCCAGAGGGCACCTGCTTCCCCCCCCACACACACAACCTGCCTCCCCCCAATTGCTTCTCCTCCTTTCCTGGCCTGTTTCAGCAAAGACGGAGCCCGGATAGATGGCCTCTGGTTACTCGGGTGTGCAAGCAGCTTCCACACCGCTTGGTTTTGCCCCACAAAGGTTGGTTTGCATGGAAGGCGTCCAGCTTGGCCTCCTCACTCCCAGAGATGTCGTGAGTGGGACCCAGGAAGGAGGGGGGTCCTCCATCACTCCCCCACCCTCACCAGCCCCCCAAGATTCACACGCCCCCCCCTCACCCCACCCTCCAGCAAGCTTCATTCCTTAGGACTGTTTTTCTTCCCAGCCCCATCGGATCCCCAGCGGCAACTGGATCAGGATAGAGCTGGAAGGGACCTTGGAGGTCATCTAGTCTAGGAACTTGAGACCTGGCCTTGGAGGAGCCCTGCAGATCTGCGGGGGGGGGGGGGTGCGGAGGAAATATTCCCCCCTAAACCTCGGGGAGGGATCACCCAGACTTCCCCCCCACCCCCGCAGAATTCACCCCTTGGCCCTCATCAAAAGGCTAGTTTTTTATTCCTGTTGGCCAACACCATTTAAGCGGGGTGGGGGGTGGGGGTGGACTAGATGACCTCCAAGGTCCCTTCCAACTCTTCTATCTTTTTTTTTCTTTTCTATTCCGTATTTTCTTTTTTTCTATGTTTCCTCTTCTCTACAACCAATCCGGAAGTGGGGCGGGGGGTTGTTTTTAGGAAAATTCTTCCTTCTTTCCGTCCCTGAGTTGAGCTCCGGCATCCAGTTGGGTCAGAAAAGAAGAGCCGGCAGCCTGCCAGGAAAACTCCCCCACCTCAAAAGAAATGGGGGGGCAGGAAAGAGGGTGGGGGCCATGGTCAGACGGTGCCCAAACATCCTGGCAGGCCTGCAGTTATCCAGGTGTGTCCCGTCCCCCCCAAAAAAATAGACTTGAAAAGTCTGTTTGTTGATGCTGATCTTCTGGGCCGCCTCTAAACCTGGCTTGGGGACCCCCAAGAGATGTGCCCCCCCCCCCCAGGGGAATGTGAGGCAGTCCCACTATTTTTAACTTCCCTCCTTCTGTCCCCCTTGGCCAGAGGCCCCCAAACTTGGCGACTTTAAGACTGGTGGACTTCAACTCCCAGAATTCCTCAGCCAGTAAAGGCTTGAAGGCCAGAAGACGGAAGGAACCCAGCCAGAGTCTGACCGATGACTGGCTCAACCGGGGTCCCCAAACTCGGCCACGTTCAGGCTTGGGGTCCACGCTCTGCTGGCTGGAGGATTCTGGGAGTTGAAGTCCACAAGTCTTAAAAAATGGCCGAGTTTGGGGACCCCCGGCCTTGGCTTTCACTCGGGTTTTTTAATCCTGTTTTCATGGATTGATCCTCTCTTCTCGGCCATTTTGTATGCCTCGCCGGCAACGAGTCGCTTTGCGTGAGGGACGCACGGCCGTATCAATCGGTTTGATCAGAAATAAGAAATAAAACCTGAGGCTGCCCGTTTTTAATTCTGCCATCTCCCGGTCCGACCTTCAGCCCAAAGGCCTTTCCCCCCCCCCCCCCCCCCCACCCCCAGGCCCCCGAAAACCGAAGAAACCCCCCAAACCAGGCAAGACATATATGGGTTGGGGCGGGGGGCTTCAATTGTGCATTCTGGGCTGCCACTGGGAAGTGGTGTCCACCCCCCCTTGGTTAGAATTAGGCCAATTGGAATTGTTGTGCCAATGCAGCCGTCCGTTGTGGTTTGTCGGCAGGGACTGCGGGGAAGAACGGGGACCAGTCTGGGAGTCTGGGGGGGACTCGGACGAGGGTCCTGCATCCAATGCAAGGATGGGGCCAAGACCCTCTGGGGTTGGGGTGCTGCCTCCAGAGCCTTTGGAGTCTGACAGCAGCGAGGAAGAGGAACGAGGGGAGCCTGTTCCCAGTGCGCGTATGTGCAGAGCTGCCGGAAGGCGAGAGCAGCTGAGACAAAAGGGGCAACTCTGGAGTAAGGCTGGGAGGTGATGGCCCCTCCTGTAAGGTATAAAGGACAGGCAAAGGTAGAGAACCCTTTGCAGGAAGCAAAGCAGCTCAATAGATTCCAAGTCCTTCTTGAAGCCCAGTGTATTCTGTTTGGGTTTTGGGTTTTTTTTCTGGTACTGTTACAATTAATTTGGATATTTCTGTTGTTGGCAGCATTCCCCAGCACTGAAAGGCGTGTGCTTATCTTGGGGAACTGTTTAAGATTAGTTCTGGCTGAGAATGAAAGTAATTCCCATCATTGCATTAAAATAAGTTTTATTTTTAAAACAAGTTTGTCTTTAATGACATTTGACGAAGGCCTGGATTAAAACTGGAGAAAAGAGGTTGTGTGAATAGAGAGCCAGATCGGGGTTACCCCATGAAGGACGATCGCAAGAGCTGGCCTGCCCCTGCCTCAGTCTTTGCAGAACCCCCCCCACACACAAGAAGACAGCGCAGCCCCGTTGGAGGCGGAAGCGAAATTCCTCGGCAACTTTTCCTCCATCACATGATGGTGTCCAGGACGCCAAACCGACCAGCTGGGCCCCCCCTGTTCTGGATGGATTTTATTCATACACCGGACAATCTCTCTTTCCGGGGGGGGAGGGTTCAGGCGCTTTTAGGGGCCGTCATTTCTCTTTGCTCCGGACGGGGAGGGCGGCACAGGGGCTGCCCACCGCTTGGGTCGACACTGGCAGGTCTCGATGACAAAGACGGTGCGGGGCTGCCCGGTCCGGGTTCGGAAAGTCTTTGTCTTGTAGCCGTGAGGGATGCAGTGACCGGCGGTGGCTCTCAGGGTCCCTGGGTCCCTGGGGAAGGAAGAGGAGCAGTGAGGCAGGGAAGGAGGGAAGGAGAAGGAGGGAGGGAGGGAGGAGAGGAAGGAAGGGAGAAGGGGAAAGGAAAGGGAAAGATCCTGAGTGAGGAAGGAAGGAAGGAAGGAAGGAAGGAAGGAAGGAAGGAAGGAAGGAAG